ATATTATTATATATATCTATAATATAAATTGCACTTGTATTTTGAAAATAATTATTAAGATTTTTTTATTATTCCGAGAACAGTAAAAGTGAGAGTCACACGGGTTACAATAATGTTATAGTTATTTGTGTTATCATTAATGTATGTTAATTTGTTATCAACGTTGGCGATACTTACTTCTCGAGATGGTCAGTCAGTTTTTCGGATTCGTTTGCTTTAATTGGTCTATAAATATCAGATATTTCCAAATCACGCTTGGAGCCTGTTATAAATAAGTCTCGCATCCACCTGTGCAAATCGCAAATAATTGGTATATACTTCTTATTCAACACCGACATCATTTCTTGATAATACTTAACTCTAATAAAAATAACTCGTTTTTATGAACAATCATTGCGAATTTGATCAGAAGACAAGCAATACTTTTGCCTTCTATCAATAAATCGAAAAAGCTACAAATTTATTGTTTTTAAAAAATATATATTATATGGAGCGAATGCGGTTGGACGAACTAGTGGGTCCGTTGTACACACAAATCGATGTAAAGATGTGTGTGTTTAATATAAATACAAAAAAGGATTAAACCATAAAATTCTTAATAGCATTATTTGGTAAATAATGTATTAGGTATCACTTAATAGGCAGTTATTTCACTTTTGCATTGAGATTAAAACAGTGTACAGAGGCGTTGATGTACATGGAGCGCGCACTAATGCATTCAATTGAATTCGTTATTAGTCTTTAAGGTCAATTTCCTATTATTAACTAAAAAATGTTAATTTTTGAGGTTGTATTATATTACACCACATTATATAAATTTTCCTAAACTGACTCATTATCAGGCATATAAGTAGCTGACATTTTCCATTCTGCGTAGATCATCGATAAAAAAAGTTAGCGCGGCACGGAACATCTTAATTATATTTATAGCAAATAGTGATATGTAGAAGAAAAATATATAGCAAATTGATATGTAGAAAAAAAAAGATAAAAGTTATGACTCAACATAAATTGAACGTAAGAAAATTGTAGCGCTACTTGTATATCGTGTTAATTGTACTCATTATGGCAAACGGTAGTTGATACGCAGAAAACAAAGATAAAGGCATAATTTAACGTAAATTAAACGTCGATCTTTTGAATAGCAAGAAAAAATTTACAAAATGCTTTTCTATTTTTTTTATTGTTAAGTATAATAGAGAAGTATGATATAAAACGTAAAATATTTTATAAGATAAAAAGTCGCTGACGCAATACAAGTGAAAATATTTTTATTTTAGGGAATAGAAAATTTTATCTTCAAAGTATGAAGGTCTTCTCTTTAAAAACAAAAAAAATACAATTTCGCATCCAAGAATAAAATTCTTCTTTCTTGAAGAAAGTTTTTTTTTAAGGAAAAAAATGTCCGTCTTATTGAAATTCTTCTTTTATTGTAGCAATTAAAATTGTTATTTTAAGGAACAAAGCTATTTCGTTCTTTCTTTCCTTCACTAAGTGCATTCTCAGACAAAAGTCTTAACAAACCAGAAGAATAGAACACTGAAGATATTCGCGGTCTCTCTAGGGTTTTGCTTCATGTCGTTCGTGTTCTTATCCATGTTGTTATATGGTCTCACAAAATATTACGACATTTAAAACTAAAACAGATAAAAATAAAAACGGTTGACATTTTTATTTCCCTTTTTTCTTTCTCTTTTTCTGCTGTTTTTTTCTTATTTATTAATTTTTGTTACATACCTGTTTCTCGAGGCGCGCTTTCCAATATTCTGTCCTTTACTGAATCACCAGTAATGTTTCGCTGTTTTTCATATCGGTTTTAAACGTTACTGATAATGTACAATATATATTATGTAACGTATGTGACATTAACAATAACTGTGCTGTATATTGTATATACGAATGTAGCTATGCATTTCTTGTTTCTGTTGTTTCTCTTTTCATGTACAGCATTCCACATACTCCTTTTCACTTAATAAATTCTTTGTTTCTCTCATCAGCTTGATTTTTATAATAAAATTTGTTTGTAGCTAAAGCTAGCTATCTTAACAATTTTAAAATAATAACTATATAAATAATTATTTTAATATTATCTCTCTCTCTCTTTCTCTTTCTCTCTTTTATAAATTGGTCCTTTACGACTAAAGATAATGCAATCTCTATTTTATGTAAACATTCGAGAGCGAATTGTTTATGGCAATCTCACTGCTCCATTTGTATACATTTCCTTGGCAGAAATACTGCTAGATGGTAACAATTTGCTATTATTTTCTGAGAAATGGTGATCGAAAACAATCTAATATTCTTTGGATGTTTGGTACAGAAAGCAGACGCACAGTTCCCGCACCATGATCTCACTGCACATAATTAATTCTAATAGTAATATCATTATTTTAATCAATATTTAAAAATTCTAACTTGACGATGTACACGAGATAAATCATTTGTAACTGCAACTATTAGTAATTTACTTTCTAATCAGTTAGAAAAAATGTTTAGAGAATGAATTCTTTATCAACAATTTGACACAAAATAACAGTTTATTTAAAACTTACATACTCAATAATTTTATTATATTTAATTGTAAATTTTAATGCTTTTATTACGTCGTAATGTGATATTAATAATATTATTATCGTATTATAATTAATTCTTAAAATATTTAAGACTGACTTTTAAAATTAGCAATGCACCGAAAATGAATAAATTTTTTTGGTAGTAGCATTGCTATTGCAAAGTGCGAAAGAGAAAATAATATATAGAGTTAATAGATAAAGAGAAGATAAAACAATCAAATTACTTTCACAGTAATAAAGTAATAAATTAATAAGGGATTAGAAAATTTAACAATAATTAACAAAAAAAATCGTGGTTATAGTTTATTTATATTTATATGTTAATATGAAAAAATATATTTCAAACTTTATATATGTGTATAATATATAAAACTTTAGATATATTTTCTTTGTAAGACTTTTTTCGTAGGAGAATCTACAAAGTGGATTGTTCTGTGATAGCGATGCTGCTCTCGATATTTTGTGATAAATTTATTTCATGATAATGGTTATTGTTCTTGCAAGCATTCTTCGCTTGTTGCAAAAGACTTTGCGCCATTTGATTGCCTGTTTTCTTCACCATTTGTGAAAAATAGCCGTTTGGTTTGTCTTGTAGCAGTTCATATGGGCAACCAAATTCCTGTTGGCGTAAGAATTCTGATCATCAAATGCATGTATACACAAATAAAAATAACATCCTGAGATAATTACGAGATTTCTGAAAATACTTGGCTATTCTTCGGTCATATAACACTATTTTATTTTTAAGAAAAAATACACATTATTTAATAGAATATTAATTAAAAAAAAATCATGTCATAAATTATAAAGAACATTGAAAGTTTCAAAATTTTTTGATGTTTTTTTATAACAAATTTATAAATTTGATTATACTTTGACTTCTTCGGAATTTTAATTGTAAAACATTGAATATCCATTTTATGAGCATGAGATTGATCGACTCCCTTTATCTTTATTTAGATATTTTAAAGATTTAAGTAACTATGCCATTAATTAAAATCATATCATAAATAAATTTTCTAGATAGTTACACAGAAAATTAAATTTTTCAAGTGTCTTTCCTAAAACCAACATTTTTCCTAACACATTCACTCATTAAGATGAAATACTTACAACGATAGACCCGTTCTCCATCACGATAATTCGATCACTGTCTATAATAGTATTCAAACGATGTGCTATTGTGATGACGGTGCATTCTTTAAAATTCTTTCTAATTGTTTTCTGAATTAAGGCATCGGTACTAGAAACAGAAATACAAATTTAGTGTAAATTTGCAACTATGTTAAATTTAGAAATTGTGCATTTATGATAGGGTTTCACAAATAGAAATGTTGTTAAAATATGTTGCGAGTGTCCACGAGGGAAGAAGAGAAACACAAAGATACAATTTCGTAGTAAAGTGATATATATTATAGCCTTATATGCATGAGGTGCAACGCGGGATATACAGAAAGAACTTCAGGTTTACAGAGACTACACAGGAATGAAACCGAAAACGGTGCTCCGGTATTTTGCTCCGTTGCTCGCGCGAACTCCGATCACGTGGGTACACGCTCGCGATCATCGCGACTCAATATTCGCAGCGCTCTCGCGCACAGCGCTCTACATCCGTGACAAAGGCGCGAAACATGCATTGCTATATTACAACAAGAAATCACAGATCTTTGTCGAAAATTTGATCCAATCAAATAAAAAGAGGCATTCTCTTTTTTTTTAATTTTGGATATATTACAATATAAATATATATTGTAGTTTATCATACTGTGGAGATATCAAATAATGCAGAAAATCAAGAATTTTTAAATTGTTAATACGATTAATTTAATCTTGTTCACTAACCATCAATTAATCATACTAGACTTTATCAAAAAACATTTAAACACAATCCTACTGCCAAAGAATCATCGAAACTCACTGCGAATCAATGTTGGCCGTGGCCTCATCAAGAACGAGCAAACGATTGTTTCTTAAAATTGTCCTAGCCAGACATATAAGCTGTCTCTGGCCAACGCTGAAGTTGTGACCATACGAGACATTGTGATCCAGCGTGACGTCGTTCAGTTCGACCTGTCGCAGCACTTCCCACAGTTTCATATCGTCATATTGATTAAACGGATCCAGATTATAACGCAGACTCTCGGAGAAGAGCACCGGTTCCTGCGGTATAATAGAGATCTTGCAGCGCAGTTCGCTCAAGCCTACTGTGCTTGTGTCTCGACCGTCGAGTCTGATCTCGCCCTTCAAACCTTCATTGAACAGGCGGAAGAACGCCGAGATCAACGAAGATTTGCCGGCGCCAGTTCGTCCCACTACGCCAACTTTCCAGCCAGGCTCAATGGATATGTTCAGATTCTGCAAAGCGCGACAAAGTGATAAAACTCAAGATAAAGAACAAGAGATATTTATAAGAATTGTTCGAATTACCTTCAAAACCAGTGGATCATCTTTGCGATACTTCATATTGACGTTCTTTAATATCAATTGTCCTTGGGACGGCCACGTGGGCGGCGGTGGATTGTCCGAGATAACGGGTTCTTCCTTTGGAAGATTCGTATACTGGAGAATCCTTTCCACGGAGGTCATTAGCGTCATCGCCTCAACGGACACTCTTATGCCGTACTGCAAGGAACCGAGGAGGAGCAACGATTGCGATATAGCTAGACCCGATTTGTTACCATCTATGCTATCTGCAGCATGAAGATCAACAAAGAAACGTGCAATAATTTGTATATTTTCGAGATTATCTAAATATTTTCAAAATGATGATTATACGTAAAAATAAGAGCAAATGTATAATGAAGTTTAAAAATCGAAAGATTATTTGATTAATAATTTTTGGTAATTAACCTACTAATTATATTAGAGCTTTTTAATCTTTATAAAATCCCTAGAAAACATTTAATCTTTAATAATTAAGAAATTTTACGAAATTAAATTGAAAAATATTACCTCAGGATATTCTGGCTGAGGTAATATTTTTCGCAACAAATAATTCTTTATATCACATCGTGGGGAAGAGGCGATTTTATTAGATGCCGATGAGCATTAGTATTTATTAAATTGATTGAATAATGTGATATTACTATTATGTTTTAAATAACAGCTACATTATGACCGAAAGTAACGGCGCGCAATTCAAGGAACTAGAATATGTGTGTAAAATTCACACAGAAAATATCAGAGAGCAACAAGGTCTTGCTTTTACCGTTTCTCGGTTCTCTTTCAATTTAATTTCGTTTGAATACACGATTGGATATATATATATATATATATATATATATATATGTATAAAGAAATTTTAATTAATTATAATTTACCATTTTTATTTATAAATATTAGAAAGAAGCAAAGGCAGGCAAGGAACAAGCACATGATTAGGTCTCCAAAGATAGAGAAGGCCGCTGAACATGTTAGAAAGAGGTACCACGTGCCGCTGTGATGATCTTGCAACACATCGAACTGTTTTCGCATCATCTTCGCGATTTCATTTCCGCTGCTTCTGATCGTCGGCAGACCGTTTAGCGTCTCGTTCACGTGCGAGAATATTGGGCTTTTCACTGAAAACGCAAACACAAATTCGAAAACATTAGGAATTTATAGATTCTACATTTTGTAAGAAGAGTATTTACAATAATAGGCTAAATTCGATAGCAAAAGTCAAACAGTTAGGAAATTTAGAAGCCTGAGATGCTTTTTTCTGATAAACTGTTACTCGTTTCAATACTTACTTACACCTTCGAGACGTTTGACGTCCTGAACGACTTTTAGGTAGAACTTCGTTGCAAAGAAAAGTAAGACAATCAGAATTACTATTATTATCAGCATCCATTGATTAATTATCACCTCTATAATCATTACACCGCAAACAATAAAAAATATCTGGATTGCTTCTAACATAGTTTTAGGCAACAATTCGTCTAAGATGCCCACTTCCTTTGAAAATCTGTTTAAAATTCTCCCTAAAATATAAAAATTGCTAAATTTAAGCAAAATTCAATAAAAATCCAGAACTTAAATTTCAAAGATCGGAATCGCGATGTAAAATGACATTACTACTTACATTTCTATAATTTATAGCTTGATGATTAATATTGTAAATATGCGAATGAATTTATGATAATTCATGAATTTATAATAAAGCAGCTTTATGAATAGCGAACAATAAGGAAATAAATACCTCTTGATAATATCGCGATTTGACTTGAAAAATGTTAACTTTCTGCTTCTGATTTCAAAATTTCGTAAACTCTGGAAAGTAATTCTCATAATATTTTTAAAAATTTACTTCATTTTAGAAAAATTTTAGAAAAAATATCTTTTTTCTTTATATATTTAATTCTAAAATTATATAATGAGAAATCTCTAAAAAATCTTGCAGTATTTCAGAATTCATATTTATAAAAAATTTTAGAAAAACTGTAGAAAATTTGGCACTTTTAAATAATCAAAGTGAAAAATTTCAATTTTTATAAAAAATTTGAGAAATTCTTTAAAAAGTTCAATAAATGTACAAAGATTTTTAAAAATTTCGAAATAAAATATTAAAAATTTAAGATAAATTTTCACTAATGTGTTCCTCCAAACCTTTTACAAATACGATTTCATTATCTATCAGGATTTTGTGATTGCTGCTTACCGGAAGGATTGGTGTGGAAAAAAGACATGCACGCCTGCAACAGATTGGAAAACATGGTGTTGTGAAGATTGCGACTTGAGTTCATGCAGACCATCATGAAGAAGAAGCATCGGAACAGCGTGGTGGTAGTGCAGACAATGATGGAGAATGTATATACATATATGGCATCCGCAGTGCTGAGCAGGCCGTTCGAATTTAACGTAAAGATGGATCCAAGGAAGCTGTCGTTGTACATGTGCGCGAACCGTTTGGCGTCACTTGTGTTTTCAATACGCCTGACATCCTCCAAGGTGGTCCAGTATGAAATCCAATAATCATTACCGGTAATAGCAACCTGACTGATAATAAATATCAGCAGCAGCATAAAGAGGGTGAAGTAATTGCCGCCATAATACATATACTCTTTATATACCCTGCCAGACATTCGGCCGTGTGCTGTCATCTCAGCTTCCGGCCTATTTTCCACATAATCTGAATTATCAATGTCCGAGTACTATAATAAAAGAATAATCTAATTGTTTGATTGTGCCTCCAATTAAATTTAGTCGCGTTATAATTATTAAGAACATTAATACAGCAATGTTAAAGAAATCAATAGACATTTTGAAACAACTTATTTTATTTTGTAATCGTATTTTTGAATTCTTTTTACTTTGTATTATTAGTTGCTAATTAGTGAAATTATGATAAATATTTTTAATAAGGATTAAAATTAGTAAAACTATGTTAAATATTTTTAATGTGAATATGTTGTACAGATGTCTTTTTTCAATTATTTTGTCGTATTACGAGTCTATCTTTATTCGATAAGGATGACATGTAAAATATTTTGGCTTCTACGTTTTTTCATAATTGACAAGTGATCAAGATAATCGTACAGTAGAACTTGCAATCGATGTTTCCGAGTTTCGTCTCGTTGTGATTTTCCCCAAAGACATTTGCGAGGTTCTTCTTAATTCCTTTTCCTTTTTTTGCGCTTCAATTTTTTCATGACTCAAATTGTCCATCATTCTAATGAAATCAGTATTTGACTGTACTAATGCGTTATAGCTTCCTTGCATCTTTACAAAACCCTTGAGGAGCAAAATCAAAATATTTAATTTAAAGGATATACATATATATAGTTCACAAGGATTTTTTAATTAATTATAATTACATATAAATTTTTAAATGTTTGAATTTGAAAGTTTATGTATGAATTTTAAAACTTTCTATTATTTTTTATTAAAAGATCTTATTAGTGTTAATGTTAATTTTGCTTACACACACACACACACACACACTTAGAATTACTATTTATTTTTTAATATTATAATTATATTGTTTGATGTAATAATGTAAAAGTATTATTTACGTATGTCTTGTTAGTAACAATATGAAGAGAAAAAATTAATGATCATTCATAAAGGCTATACTAAAGTCTTCATTTTTGTAATAATTTGAAAGAATCGGACTTGAAATTAGATATGAAAAGAAAAAGATTTGAAGTTGAAATTTTAAATGTACGAATGTTATACAGAAGTTCTAAAAAACAATCTTTAAATTTAGAATATTAGTAGATATTCTGGAAAATCATATAAACAGAAAATAATATTCGATTTAAGAGGAATTAAAGAATATTTTATGCAATTCACTCGATCCAACACGACGATGTGATCCGCTTGTTTAAGAAATTGCAACTGATGAGTGACGAGTATTCTTGTCTTGCCATGGAGATACTCGGTAATGCACTTCCAGTAGAGATGCCTTGCGACGTGAGTATCAACCGCACTTAAAGGATCGTCCAGCAAATAAATATCTGCCTGCCTATAAACTGCTCTCGCGAGATTGATTCGGGCTCTTTGACCTCCAGATAATGACACACCCCTATCGCCCACCAACGTCATGTCTCCTTGTGGAAACTGCCGAAAATCCTTCGTTAAAGCGCACACATTAGCTACCTGAAAAGTTTGCCAATCAATCAAAAAGTGAGAAACATTAGAAAATGCTAAAAAGTTTGAAATTAAGAAATATTAAAGATTTCTCTTTTAGATAAAATCAAGCATATTAAAAATTCGGAAATGTTTATAGTATTCGAAAAATATCTTTTTTATTGGCAATCAATTAAAAAGTCGTAATTTATGTCTATGATTGATGCAAACATTTGAAGAATCTGAGAAACTTATGCATCCGAGAAGTTATTTATATTGACGTGAAATAGCAAAGATACATATGTATAGTACCTGCAGCAATTTTTACTTTAAACCACGACAACTACCTGCTTGTATCTGGCCTTGTCGTAAGGCTGGCCAAACAATATATTTTCTCTCACAGTATCACCGAAGAGCCAGGGTTCTTGACTAGCATAAGAGATGCGCAAATTCGGTTTGCTCGTAGAGTAATCATTGGACAAGTTGCCTTCACAGTTATATTTGGAGGAGCCTGGGGTGAGGATCACGGAACCGGCGCCAGGATCCAGCTCCTTTAGCAGCAGATGTAGCACGGACGATTTGCCGGAGCCCACGGCGCCGACCATAGCGCATAACTGACCTGGCTTGATGGTCAGATTAATGTTGAACAAAGTCGGTGGCAATTGGCCACTGACCCAATTGGCGCAAACGCGCTGAAGCTCCACGCGGACCGGAAGGGTAAATAATCCCTGAGACTCGGAAAGCTCAATACTTTCATTTTCCGAGGTGTACTTGTCCGTTTGTTTCTCCTCATTAGTTGTGTCTTCGTTTGGTTTCTGAGATTTAGACTGTAATTGCGGCGTCTTTTCCAATTGTCTCATATTTACTTCGTCCATCAGCAGAAAGTCCTGTATATGAAGTTAAGCACTTTAATAGTAATACATGATAGCAGAAATATCGGAGACGCATTGTAAGATTATAAATTTAATAAGAATTTGTTGTGAAAGTAATTTGAAAGCAACAGTGACAGCATATACCTCCAATCGATTCAAAGACACGATCGTTTCGCCCAGTATTACCAGCGCATGCGGAAAGAACAACGTGGAGGAGAAGTGAAGTATGTCGATGTATGTTAAGATTTCGTAAGTCACATCGGCAGTTAGAGCATTCCCCGTTAGGACGAACATTATTAGAGTGAAGTAGAGGCTCAGTCGGTCGATGAAAAATAGTATGGCCAAATTCGCGGCGTGCACATATGATGAAAGTTTGATCTTTTTGATTTCCATCCCTCTGATCATCGACACAATCTTGCTGAATGATTTCTCCCAGGCATACATCTTTATTACCTGAACAGAGAGTCATTATATTATAAAATTTGTTTTATAAAATTGTTTTCTTGTAGAATTTGACATTTTGACATTTCGTTAGTGTTTTCTAATCTGGATCATCCAAAATTAAAATTAAGTTCAATAACCGCGCTCGTGTATGCAACGCAAAAAAATATAAGAATAAAGAGGCCAAGAAACGAGCACACACGATAAATTGGATGTCTAAAATTTACAACTTTAATAACGCCATTACATAAAAAACCTAGATCGTTTTGCACTACATATAGAGTCATCTTCAGTTAGTAAAACCGCGAAATAAATCACGCAACAAAATAAGAAAAAGAAAAAGAAGCCTACGTCTTTACAGTCTAGACTAACTTATGCAGAGTTGTAAAATGTATGCATGTAAATTGATATAAATGTACTTTTTATGAAGAGCACTACTATCTAAAGTTAAAATAGCTAATCAAATATCCCGGGGATACCTGTATCCCAGCTACGAGTTCGCTCATCAGCTGCACTCTTCGGTCGACCAATGGCGCGATCATGGCTCTGATTTTGCGGCTCAGTAAACTGAAGCTTCCTTGTACTATTACGGGAATGATTAACATCGGTCCGATACCGGCAAGAGTCGAAAGACCGATCTTTTGCCACATTATGGTTCCTATGATCATCGTCTGCAAATAGAAAAAAATCCCGCCATCTTCAACAACTATTTTTTCAAAAGCAACAGCAAAATAAGAAAAATAAAAAGAGCCTACGTCTTTACAGTTTAGACTAACTTACGGAGTTGTAAAATGCATACAAATTGATTGTATACTTGTACTTTTTATGAAGAATACTACTACTATTAATAGATATACTTATGAATCAACTATAAAAGAAATAATTAATTTAAACGATTTTAGTTAAATAAAGGCTATGATTGAGATGCTATTTAATCATTTCGGAATGACACAAATATTTTCCATCAAATAAAGAATTACCTGAATAGGCATGATCCATATAAAATTCAAGTGCTTCATTAATAGATCGAAACGGGTGACGTCATTGCTGAGGAGATTCATGATCTGTCCGGTACCGATTTGATTCAAAGACGCTCTGTTCAACCGTAATAACTGCAACAGTTAAAAAAAGTTATCGATACTACTAATTAAAAAAAGAGAAACATTTATTTGATAAACAATGTTTTTTGTGTTTGATTTCTATTGTATTTTTCCCACAGTGTCTTTCCCCTAAATATCATTATGCAGCTTCCTTGTCATATCATAGAGATTTCCTTCGAATTTCTTGTTTGAACAGGACATCGCGAGGATTTTAATTAAAGCACACATAGTGTTCCTTTTTTGACTAGAAAAAAGCTCTTTTTTTATAGGAAGGAACTTGGATCAACGAATGGGACTTGCAAATTAATCCGCAATGTTACCTTCCGGTACAGGAGGGAGCTGCAGGCGATGCGTATCCTCATGCCGATCTGCAGCGACAGCATTATCGCATGGTGCATCAATAAAATAGAGATGACATTGCAGATGATCATGATGACAACGTAGAGTAGCACGTCGTTTATTTTTGTCTTGTTCTTCGTGATGGAAACTTTAGCGAAGTAGTTGATGATCCAACCTTGAAAGATCGGTACTCCTACGCGTATTACGCTGCACTGGAAGCAGAAACATAATGAAATTTAATAAGTAAGCTCCAATGGACTTACGAATTTAATGAATCTAACAATGGTCGGATCCGATTTTGATTGGCTTTGGATATGTTGCAGAATATATTTAAATACAAGATACATATATATTTCTTTATCTTGTTTCATGGTTTAGTGATTGAAATTAATAGATGGAGATAGGGGTAGGTACATTAAAAAGTTTGACGTTTTCGAAAAACGTGTATAAATCGTTATAAAGAGCGTTATAAAGAAAGAGTAAAAAATTATAAAGCTATTGTATATGCTATTCAATAATATAAAATAAAATTATTATACATAAAACATTTTTTCATTTACCTCAGTTTTGAAGATATTCGCTGAAAATGAAAAAAAATTTATTTTCGAAGGATTGTTCCAGTCTCTAAACCTTGACATATTTATATATGTAAGCAAATAATAGAAAGCATGTCTAATAGTTTTTTATAATCTGCCACGTATCCAAAGTCCATCAAGATCAGTGAAGAATTAACATCTGATCGTTTCCTTGGTAAGTATTGTAAATTTAGTATATATCTAATATCAGAGTCCTTACTCAAAGATATACCTGAATAAATGAGTAGATTCCGATTATGAAATATGGCAACCAAAAGGCGTTACAGATAGCTTTGTATAATCTCGGACGGACGTTATTTTTCAACGGCACTCTCCAGCCGTCTTTGCTCATGACGTATTCTGGGTTCTTCAGTTTGTCGAGCTCTCGATTCCAGTACCTGAATAAAAAAAAATGCGTTAAAACTCTAGAAAAGCGTGGAAATTGATGCATTGTTAAGTTTTATTAACTTTACTTTCTCTGTGTTTTGCAACATTGAAACTTTAAAATTATGTAACATAAAATAATGATACCGCAGAATAAGGTAGATAAAATCAAAATTAAATTATAATATAAATTGTACTTGTTATTTTTAAAGATTAGTTAATTCTGTACAGCGAAAGTGAGAGCTATAATTTTTACAAGCATCATTTTATTATAATATGTTAAGGTACACGGTTTCATTTATTATCAATGCTGACGATACTTACTTCTCGAGGTGATCAGTCAGTTTTTCTGATTCGTCTGCTTTAATTGGTCGATAAATGTCAG